ATTCTGGCAGCCAAATGTGCCAACTGTGATTAGTTCCTTACTTTTATTATTAGAATAAAAAGGAGACCTAAGGGATATTAACAGTTATTGAATGCCTACTCTGTACAGCTTGACAAAAGGTATAATAATATTCTATTTGATTTGATTTCACCTTTGTGGCCCTTGCCTTGGGTCACAGAGCCAATGACAGAACAGGCAGTCAGATTTCCACAGTAAAATGGCACAGCAGGGATTCTGAGGCTAATGCCACCCTGCACACAGGCAGCCTCAGAAAACAGACATTTTCTTTGCACTGAATTCTCAGAGACGTTTTTTACAGGGAGCAACTTATATAGGCAAGTGAGAGTGTTCCAATGACCAATGTCTTCACAGTAGCTTCATATTAAAAGTTTTTAATGACTTTATTTTGTAGCAGCTTTTGATGAGTATGACATTGAACTGCCCTTCAACTGAGGAGCTTTTGGAAGGAATTAGGTCATTTTCTTAGGAGGTAAGGTTAGGCAAGGATGGGATTTATTACTTAGAGAAAAGGATTGCTGTCCCCACACTGTCCTGTGATCTCAATTGCTCTTGGGCAAAGTTTTGAAAAGACCTGAAGAGCTCAGATCTCGCTGGTTTGTTTTTTGTTTTTGGATGAGGATCTATTTTATGCTAATGTACTCCTCTTCCTAACAAACTTCTCCACAATTTTTCACACTTTGACTTATTTTTTAATAACTCTACTAAAAGCTCCAGGCATCTTTGCGGAGCCACCATTGTCACCAGAATTCTGGAGCTCCCTGCTTTTTGATCTCTCCTCTGTAAGATGCTATTTTTCATCATCGACGCCCATGTTTTACCCAGCACCCCTGCCCTGGGTGCTGTCCTTGCCTCTTTCTTGTTGTACTTAACATTTTAGCATCTCTTGGTGCCTAGTTTAATATTAATGAGCATCTACTGCTCTCTAAGCTCAATGCTCCCAGCTGCAGGGGTGCACACAGCCAGTCGGAACCTAGTTCTGACATAGGTTGCTCACTCTCTAATAGGTGGATAATAGAGAAAAGTGAATAACTGTCATACCAAAAACAATTAACAACAACAACAACAACAAAAACCCAAACATTAAAAAAACACAGTAACTTAAAATTGTACAAACAAAGCTCATATAAATACCCAAATGGAAAAATCAGGAAAGTTATGTAAACATACACACGCTCATCAGACGCAGTTTATGCTCCTTCCAGATATACTTGGCTCCAGGGATTAGCTATCCTGCCATTGTCATTTCAATTCCTAGTACTGTTGCCATCCCCACCTCCTCCAGGGTATGGGCCAGGATTTGGGACAATTTCCATAACATGTTCTGAGCAAGAAACCTCAGCAGCTTTAGTGTCCAAGTCCTGTCTGGCTGACCTGCAAAAGCTCTGGTGTCTGCCTCTGTTTCCTTTCATGGTTGCCTGGAGGAGCTAGTAACAACTCTGAAGTGCAAGGGAGTTCATTGTATGGTGTCAATTTGACTGACAAGAGTCAGCAAAAAAGCGTAAGCAGGCTGATAATAACTTTTCTCTTCCCCTCCTGAATGGAGTGTTTCTTGAAATACTCTTCTAGATGTGCTTTCTTGCAAATGAGCAACTGTACTATGGCCAGTTTTTTGTTTTGTTTATTAATCCTCACCTGAGAATATTTTCCAATTGATTTTTAGAGAGAGTGGAAAGGAGGAGAGATAGAGAGAGGAACATCAATGTGAGAGAAACAAATCAATTGGTTGCCTCCTGCATGTGTCCCTGCAACCGGTACATGTCTTTGACAAGAATTGAATCCAGGACTCTTCAGTCTGTGGGCTGACACTCTATCCACTGAGCCAAAGCAACTAGGATTAGGTAACTACCTCATACTCACTCTCATTCCTTCCCTGATGTACCTCCCCAGCTCCTTCACTCTTATTGCTCTGAGATTGCACCTCCCAATAATGTCTTTTTTAAAAATATATATATATATTATTAATTTTTTTTTATGGAGAGGAAGAGAGAGGGATAGAGAGTTAGAAACATCCATCAGCTGCCTCCTGCACACCCCCTACTGGGGATGTGCCCACAACCAAGGTACATGCCCTTGACTGGAATCGAACCTGGGACCTTTCAGTCTGCAGGCCGACGTTCTATCCACTGAGCCAAACCGGTTTCAGCCCAATAATGTCTTCACACATGAGGTCTGCTGCAGACACTGTCTAGGGAATCTGGGCAGTGATTTGGGGCGAGGCTTTCCGAGCAGAGCACAGAGAAATGAAGGCAATTGTGCTGAGGCCTAACATCAGTGGTTGACACATTTCTCAGGTCTGTCTCTCCACCCTGAATATGTCCTGACTTTTCTACACCAGGAACTGCTCCTGCTGAACCCTCTTTGGGACGTACCCTCCCTTTGCCCACATCCACGTTGCAATAGCGTGCAGTATTTCAAGTAGAATTAAAAAAAAAAATCAGAAGTCATAAAAAAGATGTTCTGCTTACTCCCCAAGTTCCACCTCAAAAACTATCATGTCCTTGAACCTAAAGGCAAACTCTCCCTGCTCTTTGCAGCCCAAACTGTTTTATTTGTTTTCTTGATTAAAAAAAAAAATCCTCACTGGAAGGTATTTTTCCATTGATTTTTTTTAAGAAAGAGTGGAAGAGAGAGGGAAAGACTGAGAGAAATATTGATGTGAGAGAAACACATCAATTGGTTGCCTCATGCACACCCCCTGGGATCAGATGCCATTGGGGAGGAGCTTGCAACTGAGGTATGTGCCCTTGACCAGATTCAAACCTGGGACCCTTTGGTCCACAGGACAATGCTCCATCCACTGAGCCAAACTGGCTAGGGCCAAACTATTTGTTTTTAAGTCACTTTATCAACATGTTTTTGTTGATTTTAGAGAAGAAAGGAGAAAGAGGGAGAGAGAGAAACATTGATGAGAGAGAAATCAACATTGATTGGTGGCTTCTTGAATGTTGAACCTGAAACCCGGGCATGTGTTCTGATTGGGAATCAAACCAGTGACCTCTTGGTTCAATCATTGAGCCACATCAGCCAGGCCACTTTATAACATTTATCATATATTGTCTTGTATTGTAAATGAGTTGGTATTACTGCATCTATGAAATAAAAAGCTCATGGGGGCAGGAATATGACTTAGCTTTGTATCTTCTACAAAGCTTATCACGGAGTACTGCCTGCAGTAGGCACTCAGCAAATATCAGTTAAATCTATTTAGAAAGATATCTGTAAGGTTAAGTTCATGCTATAGCTATGTTCCTTAAATAATTATTAATTTTTTAAAATTATGAAATTCAATACCAAGTGCAAAATGTTCTGATTAGCTCAATAGAAGGCCACACTCTCTTGACTCTGATCTTGCCATGACTTTCTAGTACCTGGAGGTAGGGAGTGATCCTCAGAGCTTCCTGAGATCAAGCACATTAGCATTCAATCACACAGCATGGACCTCCACCACAGGATAAATAGTGTGAGAGGACTCTTTTCATTCAATTAATGAATACCTTTGAACAGTTACTCTATACCAGGCACTGTGATGATCAAATAAATGCTTTTAAAAGTATAAGTTATATAGTGACAAAACCTATATTTCTCCATACCAACATTTAAAGCCCATAATTTCTCCCCCCCTCCCACTTCCACCCCCTTTCCCTGGTTTCTATTTAGAAAGTTGGTCTCTGTGTTTCTACATTTCACAATGTCTAGTTCATTTCAAGGAATTTTTGGAGTCATTAAAGCAGGTGAGTGAAAGAAAGAAATCAGAAACAGACATGAAAAATTATTACTCTAAGTATTAGTAATGGCTACTTTTAGTTGACTGAGTAGACTCCATAAAAAGACAGAAGCTTGACAGTGCTCATACACAAGATGCTTTCACTTTCTTAAATATTGGACTCCAGGAAGTCTTTTGAGCCACTCACTAAGTAACAAGACTGGGCAGACTTCTATTTTTTTTCTCTATTGATATCTTCCAAGGAAAATGCTGCATAATATGATTTTCAAGGCTAATTTGCCTTTTTGTGTTAAGCAGTGTCCCTGGCTACAAATTAGCCTCCCTGAGCTAGAGAGGCTCCTTCAAAATTCCTAACAGGCTGCCTGGTGGAGAGATGGGAGGGAAGGGATGGGAGGGAGAAAGGGCGGGAGGAAGGGAGGGAGAGAGGTAGAGGGTGTCTGTCTTCTCCTTACATGTGCTGCAGGCAGGGAGATCTGAACGCTAGCAGAACAGGCAGTGTACTTACATGTTCCTTGGAAGTATATTAGCCCCACCAGGAACTAAGCTTGCCAGTTCATTTGGGGAAAGAGAAGTAGATTTGGGGGTGGTGAAAGGGGCCAGTTCATAACTGACTTCCCACTCAGTTATAATGAGGGCATTTGCTGATCTCCAGTGACCGCCTGGTGCTGTGGTCAGGCTTCTCTCCCTGACTCCCAGATATTTGGTTTTGCAAAAGGGACACACCTTCCTGCAGAAAAGAAGACTCTGACCAGATTGCAAGCGGTAGGTTGTGACATTCAGCATGTTTATGCAGCAGAATTGCTTAGAGATGCAGAGAAGGGGGCGGGGGTGTTAGGCTGGTTGATTTATCTGCAGAGGGGAATGTTTTATTTTAATTGCCAGTTAAAAGAAGAGTTGCTGCCTAGGCTAAGGTGTCAGTTAAAATTTCTGTGTTCTCAGATTTTATTTTTGTGTTTGATGTGGTTTCTGTGCTTGTGCAGCTTAGCGCAGCCAGACAGGGCTCACCTTTAAATAACCTGCAGCTTTCCTCCTTTTTAATTTTCTCCCTTAAGCCCAGTTCCCACCCCTTCTTCCCAATATCGCCCTCACCTCCCCCACCCCTAGTGAAACGTGGCCTGCCTTCATCTTGAGCCTTTTGCACTCTGAGTCTGGATTTGCGTCTGGTTTTTGGCAGGTATTTGTGGATGCTTTGCAGTCGCCCAGGGCCCAGGCGGACCGACTGTGTAGAAGTGTTTGTGCATGGGAATCGGAGACCATGGCAGTGCAGCTGGTGCCAGACTCCGCGCTCAGCCTGCTGATGGTGAGTGCTCCGGAAGGAGGTGGGGCCCCGGGGCGCCCAGCTCTAGCCTCTCCGGCATCGCATTGCACCCCTGTGGGGTCTGCTGCTGCAGCCAGAGCTGCAGACATGTTAACGGTCCTTCTGCTTTATCCTGCAGGCCTTTTGAAATGATTTCTTAGGTAAAGAGCAACAGCCATGACAAAGCACTTCCAGGGAAAAGGAGCATTAGGTTTGCCATTTTAGAAACTTGTTGCTTAATGCTATTTTGAGAGATGTGTTTGCAAACAGGTGCGAAGAGCCCCTGGAAATAGATTGCCAGTAATGCCTCTCCTTGGCTCTCAGCATCCTTTTCCCCATGCCTTTTGCTTCTAAATTGAGGTAATCATGTTTGTTTGGTATGTTTTTTTTATATCTTCTCATGGCAACTGTGGAATAGTTTGCCCACAGGGCAATTGAATAGGCTCTTCTTTCAAGGTGCCCACATATCTGCTCAGATTTCTCTGTAGAGGCAGCCGAGGTGGTTCGCTGTGACCTTTTGTGACACTGGAGTTCGAGGAAGCTTATCTCCCAACTACAACTGCTGGGGGGACACTCTGAGGCCTTGTCCTGGCATTTGTCCGAGTGTGGACCACTGACCTACTTTAAGCCACTCCACGAGTTCCATCACGTTAAGAAACAAGGACATTTAAGCAAACAAGGACATTGGCATCGCCTTGTTTTAAGCTGATTGATGTTTGCTTGACATTTAGTTCAGAGTTTGCTTTTGCATAACATTGCTCCTCCCAGTACTCAGGAGCAGCCTATCTGCCAGGGGAATACTGGTGGAAGTGGCCCCTGTCAGCTGGTGTGGGAATGTTCCAACAGTGGGCACAGGAGATTTTATGAACAAAGCGTAAGTGCTTCTGCTGTATATTGATCAATGTTTTCTGACTGAGGAGAAATGCGGCTTTGCATGGTCTCATGAGTTTATTAAAGCCACTTGGAAGAAGAAACAAGTGGGGAGCAATCTCTCCAGTGGCCAGGCTGGTCAAGTTAAGAGAAACAGATATAAGATATGACACCTGGGGTTCCTTGTTACCCCAAATGTCATTTAAGCCACAGAGGCTGTTGATGTGCCTGGGATCTCATGGGCCTCTGCTGACTTCTGACTTTAATGGGGGAGAAGGGGTGGATATTTTCTGGAGAAATTACCCTTTACTCCTCTTTCTTCCCTCATGAATTCTATTGTCTTATGCTATTTTTATCCTCAGTGTCTGTCTGAGGTCACACAAGTGGATGCAAAGGCCCTGATGAGTATTTGTGCGTGTGGCAGGCACTGAAGTGCAGTACCCAAGGGGACCAGGAGACCTCTAGGGTACTGGGAGAAAAGATGCAGAAAATACTAGTGCATGTGCTCACATGCAGGTATGCGCATGCATATTATATAATATTGTTAAACAGAAACACATCCTGTATATGTTATCATAGAGAAGAAATGTGTTCTTGAAAAATAGAACTAGGCCTGCTGCCTCCAGGTGTCTGTCTGCTCTGAATCACCTGAAGCTTCCATGCTTCTGAGCATTCAGATAAGCGCCTGTTTGACTTGGGCCCTAGGGCTAAATCCTCAGCACCCAGAGAGAATGCAGCTCAGCACCCTGGTCCAGCTCCTGCCACACACACACACTCCTGTTCCCTTGTGCTTGTGCTTCCCAAATATTGTGATTGCTGACCTGGAGGTCTCTCAGCTTAGACTTTATCCTCCATTATCAGCAGTCTCTGCTCTCAGATCTATCTCTAGAGCTCACCTCTTGCCCAGATTAAAGGATTGTGTGCATGCCTCTCTGGGAAGCTGGGGAAATAGCTTTGACACCTAGATGGACCATCAGATTACAGAAACCTGGAGTGCTGTGTGCAATTGGAGTCAATACATGTTTTCTGGTTTACCACTGGTTTAGGGGGATTTTCCTTTATGGATTTCACTGATTTTTTTTTTCCTTCCCATTTTAAGGGTAAACCCCAAAGTAATTGCTTCTCTAACCTATTGCATGATGAATCTCAAAATTTATAGGCAAGTAGAGGTGGAAAGGATGAAGGAAAAAGGGGTATTTAGCAGAGCTGCTTTGGCTGTGAGTTCAGGAAGGAAGCTATAAATATTATTACTTAGTAGCTAATCAATCAACCAATCAGATCTCAGAACTTAGAGTGCCGCTGACTGAGAAAGCAGCATGATGCAAGAGCAAGAGCAGGAGCAGCTTGTAAACACCCTGTCTGGGTGGAGGGCACTATCAAGTTGCCTCATTGCAGTTTTGATTCTGTGTCTTGGAGTCACGGGGCAATGGGGAGCAGGGGGCGGAAGTGTGAGGGGGGAGCACTTGGCCATGCACCTTCCTTTGGGATAAGGAGGCAGCTGGAAGTTATATTCAGTGTAGACTCTAATGAATCAGGGCAGAATGCATTTGTTTGGTTATGGAAGGGGCAACAGAGCCTGAAGGTGGAGACCCTGTCATTTCTTCCCAGTTTTGACACTCACTGTGCAATCCTGGGCACATTGCTTCCTCTCTTCGTACCTTAATTATGTCATTTGCTAATTGAGGTGTGGTCCTCATCTCTAGGTCCTCCTTTCAGCTCTGTTAAACACCATGTAAGGCCACTAGGAATGCTGTCTAGAACAGAATTCCTGGTAGGCAATTCTGACACTTGATATGGCATTGTGTCTTATTTGCACCCTAGCACACGAGCGGTATTGCTTTTAGATGGTGGAATTTGTCCCCATCCACGTGGCTTTAACTCCAGAGTAAGTATGTTTCAGATGATCTGTTGGAATGGGCGATCATTAGGGTTTGCTCACACTCTGCTTCAGGAGTCCTACCCCATGGGATCCTGATTTATTCTGTTTGACAAGAGCAGGGAACCTGTGAGTAGTACCTAAGGTGTTTTTCCAAGTGTGCAGAGTTTGGGTAACTGAGGGGGATCCTGAGTTATGAGCATGTACTGACTTTCTTGAGGTAGGAGGATTTCACTGACTCTGCCAATGCAGAGTTACTGTGAGGGTTGATGAATGTCCAAGCAAGATAGAGCCCCTTAGATGAGGAAGGGTGGAGTCACAGAGATGACAGGTGTTGGTGATGGATACAGCCTCACAGGCATGGAAAGCCCATGTGTGCTGAAATCTTGGGAAGCAAGAAAAGGTACTACTGTTCACCACATTGATGGGAGCCTTCAGCCTGATGTGGCTGATGGCAGAGATGGAAGCTGCTGGCTATGTGTCATTTGCTGAAGCCATCTGACTTTGAGGACTGCTGCAAGGACTGGAACATAATAGAGCCAGGGATTTCTTAATAATTTTATTAATTACAGGATAGAGATGCATAGCCAAGGGTTATAGAGGTAGTATTATGACATTTTGGCTCATTATACTCTTGACAGTTGGATTAAAATAGATTTTAATGTAAGTAAACTGGCTAGGTAATATGCAAATTATACTTTTCTGTGAAGTGTCTTTACATACATTATCTCATTTAATCCCTTCAAGAACCATAGTTTAAGGCAAAAAACAACAACACACAAAACACCCCATTAATAATCAGAATTTGGGAACCTGTCAATGGTCACACAAATGAAATTGATGGCTCAAAGTCTCAAAATTGAGGTCTTCGGATTTTAAGCCAGTGATAGTACATCAAAGCTCAAGAACTTGACTACCAGGATCTTCTAACATTGAATTGGCCAAGAGGGCCTCTCCTCATTTTGCATTTTCCATGCTTTTAGGCAGGTACTTCTGTATTCGTGTTTATCATTATTCTTTTCCTTATCTATCTATCTATCTATCTATCTATCTATCTATCTATCTATCTATCTAAAGAGGTAATATGCAAATTGTCCAGGATGCTATAACATCACGACCACTCAGGAGGAGGTTGCACATGTAGGTGGGCGGGAGGAGACTGAGTATGAATGAGGCAAGCCATGGATGGTGCAAGCCCAGAGAGAAGAGGCCTGCCTGCCACTGTGGCTGCGGGGAGATCCAGAAAGAACAGGGCCTGCCAGCCGCAGCACACTGGTAATCCCACCACTGAGCATGAGCTGCAGAAGAAACACCTTTTCTAACTGCTCATTGGCTAAGCTCTCAGAATGCTCCTCACAATGTTCTTGGTAACTTGGGTAATAAGAATCCAAGAAAGTGATCTAGGGTTTTTCCATCACATTCTTGGAGGAGAAAAATGAAGGTCCACTGCTAGAGGGTCTAAGAAATGTTATATCCTGCCCTAGCTAGTTTGGCTCAGTAGATAGAACTTCGACTGCTGACTGCAGGGTCTGTGTTCAATTCTGGTCTAGAGTATGTAGCTAGGTTGCAGGCTCCTCCCTGGCTGGGGCCCAGGACAGGTCTCATGCAGGAGGCAACCAATTGAAGTGCCCCTCTCATATTTATGTTTCTCTCTGTCTTTCCCTCTCTTTCACACTCTCTAAAAATCAATGGAAAAATATCCTCTGATGAGAATAAAAGAAAGAAAGGTTATATTCTATGATAGAAACATCTTGAAAATGCCTAAAGAAAGTTGTTATTTTTTTTGTGGTGAAGGGACTGGACTCCATGTTGATGAAAATACCTTGGCAGCTTTGGGGACCAGCAGCAGCAGATTGATTGGGGTGCTGCCTTCTCCTTATCAGCTGGTCATCTCCTGCAGAAAGAGGTCAGACTACAGCTTAGGCCTGCTCCCCCCAGGGGAATTCCCTGAGGGCTCCCAGACTGTGAGAGGGGGCAAGCCGGGCTGAGTCCTTCCCCCACCAGTGCATACATTTTTGTGTACTGGGCCTCTAGTTAAAATATAAAATTGAAAAATGATACCACAGGTCTGGTTCAAGAGATCTGATTTGACTCTAGCACTAAGAAATATATTTATATTCCTAAAAGACTTGCTGTGTTTCAAGGTTCTACTTTTTTGGACTCTGTTTCTAAGAAATTGCCAAGAGCTATGTTTTATAATAGATACATTAAATATGTTAAAACTCTAATTCATAAGTTAGAGAAATTAGAGGGTGAT